GTCTAATGTAGGTACAGATGGGAAGTATTCTGTCCAACAATCTGTCTAATGTACGTACAGATGGGAAGTATTCTGTCCAACAATCTGTCTAATGTACGTACAGATGGGAAGTATTCTGTCCAACAATCTGTCTAATGTAGGTACAGATGGGAAGTATTCTGTCCAACAATCTGTCTAATGTACATACAGATGGGAAGTATTCTGTCCAACAATCTCTCTAATGTACGTACAGATGGGAAGTATTCTGTCCAACAATCTGTCTAATGTACGTACAGATGGGAAGTATTCTGTCCAACAATCTCTCTAATGTATGTACAGATTTTAATGAATTTTAAAATATCTCCTGATAATATTGGAAACTTAATTAAGAGATAATCCACTACTTAGGACAAATTTGTATGGTTTTACATTTTAATAATACACATAGCATCAAAAAATTCTTGATGGTTTACCAACAGCAGGTAAAAAGGGGTGGACATTATTTCATCAATAGCAGGTAAGGATGACAAAGTCAATAAAAACTTATCATGATCTCAAAGTGATTCATTGGAGACGTCTTTATATAACAAAATAAACTGTCATAACACTTACGACATTATAAGATTCTTTGGATAAAATTAAACTTTATTATAAGACTAACGTGGAGTTAAATTAAAAAGTTTACTTCCAACAGGACGTGTATCAAATCGCTTGTTGGATTTCTTAATTAATACGGGGACACACCTTAGGAAGGTTAGCCGCAGCTATACCCTGGTCTTCACCATTGATATAAACATGAAAACTACCATCATTTCGACACTGTACACCAACTTTGTCTCCTACCTATGAAGGAAATATATTTTTGAAGAATCATTAGGAAAACTGAACATAAAAAAATATCAATAGCATTTTCAGAAGAGTTACTTAATGACAGAAACATATACAAAAAAAAATATACCAAAAAAATAAAAAACGTGGAATCAATATAACGTTAGTCTTAAACTGTAAATGTGCAAATAATAACAAATAGATTATACCACTTGTATTAGTATTGTTTTATTAACAACATCAGTACAAACTGAAATGTCAAAAAAATAAGTACATGAATTCCCTAATAGTCTAGACCAGTTAAAAAAAAAAGCACCAGAATCTGATAAAAGTATTGGAATAACGTTAAAAACATGCAAATGAAGGAAGGATTTTGTGAATGTTGAAAGAAAGAACAAAGAGTTTCCTTGAAAACTTACCGTGAGACATCTTAAAGACATACAATAATTGTCCTTCAGAACAGTTCCGTTCTTCTTAACTTGCTTATCAGTGAGGATCCACGTATCGGATCCTTTCAGTAAGTTCGCAGAAGCTGGCAAGTAAAATGGAGAGATCGCAAGTGATGGTACCAAAGTGGTCAGTCCCACAGACAAATGTCCAGCCCATAGAAGGTTTACCTGGTCAACCTGAACCTGTAAACATACATAACATGGATGGGTTAAATGCACTTCGAATGAATGAGTTGAATGTGATAGTGGAGATTAAGAGATGTGTGGTGCCACGAATAATCTGTTTAAACCTACACGTATGGAGAGAAATATGCATACAGCAAGATTGTGAATAAACTTAGAGAGTTTATGATGAGAACAGGCTTCAAAACCATACCCTAAACCACAGCAAGACAATTAAATAATGTAGAACCAAAGGATAAGAAAATGGACTGAAAAAACTGGAATCACAACAATCCTATATGACCATATTCCTGTCAAGATGACCAATGCAGCTCCAACGGGCTTTCGTGCCTCGGGTCTCTTTAAACAGGGTCTTGTAAGTGGAGAGTCTGTCAAAATGTGGGGACTAAGATTGACTTCACTGTTCTTTGCAGAAGTTTGTTACAGTAGTGTGCAATTGTTTCCATCAAACTCAAAACAATCATTAATGAAGTTAATAAAATTGTCTTGACTGTCATCAGGTATTCTGAGTTATACCCTTGACATTGCAATAACTGTCACATCCAGGTTGATATTCTGGTGCACCATCTGCACCACTCAATTAATAGAACATGATAACACTAATTAAACATACTTAATTTGGCTCCAAACTTCAAACAGCTGTAAAAGAATCGAAACTTCAGAGGTCAATATCACACTAGTTAATGTCTTTTCATTATTATTTTGGTTTTAACTGTCATTGTGATTATTTATCATGTGTACTAAGTAGTTAAACAGTCCTACTGGTATTAAGGTATCTTTTTTTTTGTAGCTAAGATATCATTTTGAAATATAGGAATCTGAACAAATGTCTGTACCACAGTGAAGAACAACAAGATTATCATACAGACAGTTTCCGACATCAGTGATCACGTACAGTTGTATAACTGGGTATACGGACAGTTTCCGACATTAGTGATCACGTACAGTTGTATAACTGGGTATACGGACAGTTTCCGACATCAGTGATCACGTACAGTTGTATAACTGGGTATACGGACAGTTTCCGACATTAGTGATCACGTACAGTTGTATAACTGGGTATACGGACAGTTTCCGACATCAGTGATCACAGTTGTATAACTGGGTATACGGACAGTTTCCGACATCAGTGATCACATACAGTTGTATAATTGGGTATACGGACAGTTTCCGACATCAGTGATCACGTACAGTTGTATAATTGGTTATACGGACAGTTTCCAACATCAGTGATCACATACAGTTGTATAATTGGGTATACGGACAGTTTCCGACATCAGTGATCACAGTTGTATAACTGGGTATACGGACAGTTTCCGACATCAGTGATCACATACAGTTGTATAACTGGGTATACGGACAGTTGTATAATTGGTTATACGGACAGTTTCCACATCAGTGATCACGTACAGTTGTATAACTGGGTATATAAGTACACAGAGCAGAAAGGACTATTCTTTTATTTTTTATTATTTGTTTGTTGTTAAGCCACAAAGCTACACAATGGGCTATCTCCGCTGTACCAACTATGGGTTTCAAAAACCAGTTTTTAGGTTACAAGTCTTCAGACTCACCACTGGGTCACTTTAATAACTAGTGTAATACAATTTGTCCGAAACTTTCTTTTTGGCACACCCTGTATTTTATATACACAATATTGAATTTTATAGGTAACTGACCAATCAGAATTTTACTTACTATTATTTTAACATTTCTGTGAATAAAATGTGTGCAATGTGGCTTTTGTTCTGTTGTTTAAGCACAATAAACTACACATATTACACTATTTAGAAAAATAATTCCAAATGTTGCAATCAGTGGAAAAGTATTTCAACTATATGCTGTTACACTTCATAATATCAAGATGGTTCTTAATTTTTACTTTGTTTCTGATTTAGATTGAACCTTGAAAAACATGTTTTTTCTTTCTTTCCCATCCACCAGGGTGTAATATTTTTACTTCTATGACATTTATTTCAAAATTTTATAACAGTTATGCATAATTTTTAGTAAGAAAACCGTTTATAATGACATTTATTACAAATCGATATACCTAATATAATGATTCTTCCGAGCCTACCCCTTGATCAAACAACTCTATTGTTCACAAAACATACCTCAAACACTTCACCAGGGTCTAGAGGTGCACTGCTAAACAACAAACCATGGCTGAATCCCCTAACTCGAGTTGCAGCCGTGTTGTTCTCTCGAAGCGTAATATTCTTCCCAAAGCACAAGCTGAAGTACTTAGTTCTTTCTGTAATGTACAGTCGAAATGTTCACATCCGTAGCTTGCAAGAAGTCAACATACACAATATCATGGGATGTGATTTTTAATGTTTCCCTTAGATCTGATATAAATTTATACAGAATTAATAAAACTTGTCCCCCCCACCAAAAACATTTTAAAAACAATTTGGTATAATGTAAAGAAATTGTAATGTTATGACCAACATTAGGAAGCATTATATTTTATGATTACCATGAAATGTAAAACATAAATTTTACAATTCCCATCAACTATACATTTTTGCAATAATTCCTGAATAATAAAAAAAAAATTATGTTTCTACTGTTCGTTTTTCTCTTCCGTATTTCTATTACACTTATAACATTCGTTTTTATTATTATTATTCTTAACAAATATTTCACCAAATTTAAATTTTTTGTTGTTGTTTCCTTCTGGGATTTTTAAAGTAAATTTTAGGGCACTTGAAAACACCAGTTACTAAATATATCCCAAAACGTAATATTGTTTGGTATAAAAATAGGTTATGTTAAAAGCTGTGTACATCGACCCTGTGCATACGAGTCGATCAACATGACCGACCTGAATGAACTAAGTATATTCTCATGAGATACGACATGCTTTTAGTAAACATCTAATTTTTGATTAAACATTTTTAATAAAGATTTGTCCGTGAATTTACGATGCCTTTACTGATTCAGTCTGAATGGAAGGTGATTTTTCATGCCAAGAATAAAAATATTTATTTCATTTCAATAATCTCCAAGGACTCCTTAATGCATATCATACGTTTTTTGTGGTAAAACTTTAATATATTTTCTCTACCCTAACAGAAACTGTAACAAAATCATCAACACACTGTGAAATGAAAAGCTGAAGAATATCAAACAGAATCACAGTTATTTATTTATTTATCCTAAAAGTCTCAGCTTCTAAACTTTTAATATCTGATCTTTTAAAAAAATTTATTGTTTTATTACTATACTTTGAAACCATGAAAAACAGTAAATCTTCTGTGGGAGATTGGAGAACTTAGGGTAAACAAACTATTGTGTTACAGCATGTGATGTCAAGCCGTGCGTATTCCTTGAGGAGTGATCACGTGAAGGTTTTTATTTCATTTTTCTTATCTAAACTAATAAGTTTTAAATACATTATTAAATATATATATATATAACACTAAATAAAAACTATCCATAAAAAACAAGAAATTACTTTAGCTATAGACCTATTTTAGTCAAAAACATATTTTGGTAAGACTACTTTTCCCCCCCACCACATTGGTTATCCACAAAATAATTGATGTAGCTTTTAAAAAATGTCTTTTTGAACAAAAACGTACATCAAACAATAGAATACAATGTCCATAAACTCCTATAATTTATCTGACTTTTTAACTATGCTATAAATAGGTTTTTAAACTTTCATTAATGCTCAAAACATTGACTTCATTCAACATTTTGTTAGAAACTGTTGTCTCTGATCGTCAAAATATAAACAAAGGAACACGAAATGGCAGTACGTTGAACTTTGCTCTTTCTATTGGTTATAAACTTATCTTTAATATTTATATGGGAGGAGCACAGTTTGTAGGTTCGATATTTATTTATTCTCAACAAATTGAGAAAACGGGAAGTTACATTTAAATGAAGCCCTTCACTCATCAATCGGAAAGGTGAAAGTTATTTAAATAAATTTTCACCTAGACTATTCTGTGTAACGTGACACTTATGGCATTCTGATTTCTTATTTTTAGATTTTTTTTCCATCCCTTTTATGGCATTCAGAGTGTCCAGTATAACCAATTAGAAATACAAACTATAGAAATTGACAGGCTGGAAAATAAAATAAGAGCCTCCTATTTTCCCAACCCTAATCCATAAGTTTGTGTTGCGTGAAACGTGCCGCATGCATTGTCGTGGAGAAGAAAAATTTTGACATTAAGAAATTAAAACATATATAATATTAAAATCTGAATTATAAAATATGTTCTGGTGTGAAGTTTATAGACGTAATAAAACTTCTTAATTAACTTTTAAATGTAACTCTGTAAAATTTTTGTGACACGTGAACTCTGACCCACCCATATGCACAGGATTTCAAGAATAACTAAGATAAAATAAGGAAGCAACCACCCCATCACACATTATAGTACACAGTCACAAAATAAGGATTAAAAGGCTTAGAGAAATTTATGTGATGACTATAGGAAGAGATTAACACACAAAATTGAATACATGGAGATTTTTTTTTTTTTTTAACAGTAATCAAAAATTAAGTTGACCGGTAAAATGTTTAGTTTTGAATTAAACTGGACGTTCATCACAGAATTATTCATGATATGTATCAATTATCATAGCAAGGTAAATTTTCAAGATAACCTACTATATAATCTCAGAACGACGAAAAAAAAAAGGAAAAACACCAAGTACCATTTCCAAGCGGAGCAGGGATGCTGACTTGTGGACTCTCCGGGGTGAAAGGTGTAGAGCTGGAACCACTTGAAAATGTGTGGTTGCTGTGCACAATCGTAACTTGAGCACACTGACCGTACAAGTCAATAACGGCATATACGTCTAAAGAAATAAAGTATTAACACTAATGCATATTTGAGTTAGCAACATAAAGTCAAGGTTTTAATTATTTAGTGACTCGACGGTTGGTTTATATAAACCTTTCTTCTAGCTCTATTCTACAAAATATTGAAACAACGCAACTCTTTAACCATCTAATTAATCAGTCATCCAGAGAAAAATGTAAATACACCTCTTAATGATGAGGTAGGTCTTGCAATTCCAGTGAAAAATGTAGGGACGAGGAGTGAAACGTAAACGGAGATTTAGATAGCAGTATACTCTTTTACCCTAGAACCACAGAGCCTCTCCATATAATAGATACAAAATGATGGCAGGCATACTGAATAGTTGGTTATCCACAGATGTGCTTAAAATAATTAGTAAAAACTACTACATACATTCCATCCTATGTAGCAAGCTGTTTAAGTTCAGGATGTTTTACTGACAACGGGATGTAGCAAGCTGTTAGTTGTCAGTAAAACATCCTGTACTTGGATGTAGCAAGCTGTTTGTTGTCAGTAAAACATCCTGAACTTGGATGTAGCAAGCTGTTAGTTGTCAGTAAAACATCCTGAACTTGGATGTATAAAGCTGTTTGTTGTCAGTAAAACATCCTGAACATAGATGTAGCAAGCTGTTAGTTGTCAGTAAAACATCCTGAACTTGGATGTAGCAAGCTGTTAGTTGTCAGTAAAACATCCTGAACTTGGATGTAGCAAGCTGTTA